ATAGAAATATGCTGTATAAGTACAGTTCATTTACCATTAAAAAACAAACACGCAAGAACAGAATATGAGCCTCAAAATTAAGGCCGTTAAAAACGTCAAACAAGTGTTCTTCCAAACCCTAAACCTTCTTTTTAAAAGCACTAATTGGAATAAACTTTTGACACTTTAATACAGTTAGCAAGTTATTCCACTCTGCATGGGCAAAAAAACATAAAAGCCTAGCTCATTAGGAGAAGCATCAAATGTCTTTCTAGCATTAGAACACTGCATCGTTTTAATTTTTGTGGCATTCAGGACAAGTCTGATTTCAAGCAGCAATGACTGCACAGTATCAAAAGCTGCCTGCAAATAGTCAAAAGATTAACAGTGATGCCATAGCTGTAAAAGACGGTATTATCGACATAAAAGGGAAATTTTGCATTTGAAATATTTTGACTCAGATTGTTAACATAAATGGTAAACAAGAGGACAGAACCTTGGGGACCCCCTAGTTAACAGATTTTCTGTTAACCCTCGTTGTTTTGTTGGACAATTATTACCTATTAAACTTACTGGAGAGCATGGAGTCATGAACACATCCTGCAAACGGATTATTCCTTCAGTAGAATCCACATCAGTCCAGTTTCCTTCGCCTCACTCTCAGTTGGTCTTCAGTTCTGTTTAGCCATCCATGATCTCTTTCTCCCTGGGTTTAAGTTCAGCACTCGTGACATTATCAACCAGTTCATGCAGAGGAAGACCAACTTCTAGTTGGTTCTTGACCTCAAGTTAACGTTGGGGATCTTCTCAAGCCACCTGAGACTGAGGATGAGGCAAAGGCATCTACTGACAAATTACTGAAACTTGATAGTGATGATGATGGTCACTCATCATGTCTCAAATCTATATAGGAGTTGTGCCTTCACATTGTTGTTGAAAATTACAATCTATATACGGTGGAACCATGCATTTGTGTCACACTGTGTGAAAATCAAAGCTTTGAAACTCCTTTTGTTGTTGTTTTTTTTAGTTCTACCATGAATCAAAACATTTTTTTCCTAGGAATGTGAATTATCATATGCATCTAAATGGCTTCAATTACTGCAGGTGGATCAGCTGTCAGTATTATGCAGTGGAAAAAGTCAAACCACTACCCAGGCCTGAGGATTCAGGGCACCAGAAGTAGAAGAAGTGATAAGGTTGGAGATATTTATAAGAGGGTTAGAGTTACTTTTAACAGACATAAATACTTGGTCCTGTCATCACCTTCAAACAAAACTCTTAAAAACAAAGTCCTCGTCGTTATCATTCAGTTGGGTTGGTGATATGCAAGATGACAGAATGCAGAAACTTCTTTGCTGCAACCTGCTGTATATTAAAGTTTAGCATATATTTATATTGTATAATCTGTTTCTACAGCAGAAGCAAACTAAAACATAATGCTATCAAGATCCTTTCCTGTTTAGAGTGAACATTCCTGTTTTCCAGATGGAGAGGCAGCTAAAAAAGTCACAAAGGGGCTTTAATAGCCCAAAGTACAAATCCTTAACTTTTTAATCTAATCAGCCAGTGACGTTCTGGTGGCAGCCATCCAGTGATGCATTGATGTCTGATGTGACCGCTTTGATAGTCACTAAAAACAATGGGTTTCAAAAATATCCCTTTGCTTTAAAGAAACAACCATTATCTTCAGAAGTCGCATAATTGGTCGAATAAGATCCGTCTGTGAGCAATCTGTGTGTCTGATTATCTCAGCATAGATGCACCTGTTCTGATAGACTTTACAATCAATCTGTTCACCACCTTTAAGTAGTTTGGGCTACCACAAAGCAAGAGAGCACAAAGACCGAGACAACATGAGTCGGAGACAAAGTTAAAGAGAGGTAATGATCAGGGTTGTGTTATACAAATTATCTCAGCCCTTAACATCTCAAACCGCCAGTATATCCATTCCTCCATTTTTTTTAATCTGCTGTTCCTGTCCTGAGAATGGGGAGCTGGTGTCCGTCTCCAGCGATCTCTGCGCATGAGGCAGGGCACATCTTGGACAGGTCCATACCAGGGCCACATAAAGACAGACAATACAACCATTCATTCTCTCACACGCAATGAGGGATGAATTAGTTACCAATTAACCTAACATGCATGGTTTTGGTCTGTGGGAGGAAACCAGTATGCCTAGCAAATGCCCCAGAAGCATAAGAAGATGCACACTTCATCCAGAAAGACCCCAGACCAAAGGGCGATCCTGCGTCCTTCTTACTGGGAGGCCCCAACTCTAACCTCTGTGCCATTGTGCCGTCCTCCAATAAATCCATTATTAGGAAATGGAAAGATTGTTTCACTACAGCAAACGTGCAAAGAGGTGGTTGTCCACCACAGTCCATGAACTTGCCAAGGGAAGCTGTCAGCTCTTCTACGGAGATGGGAGGATCTGTCCATTGGACCACCTCTGGGAGAAACTGGAGTTCATGGAAGAATGGCAGGAAAAAAACGTAACGAAACACTGATTTGAAAATGCGACTTTTTGAGAATTTTTTTTTTCCCCAAACATGGCGTTGTGGTCAGATGAGACTAAAACTGACAGATTTTACCATCGAGGACAGGACCATATCTGGTTCAAACCTACCACCTCTCGTCATGCCAAGAACACCATACACACAGTGAAGCATGGTGGAGGCAGTATCATGCTGTGGGGATGTGTTTCCATCAGTATATAATGGGAAACTCATCAGTGTTAAAGAAAGATTGACGGAGCAAAATGGAGAAATAATTTAGTAGAAAGTCAGTGTTTTGTTTTTATTTTTAATCAGGTCTGGACGGATTGGGTTTAGGTTTATTTGTCATATGCAGATTAACACAATATTAACAATGCAATGAAATGTTCAGAACCAGAAGAACAGTCTCGACTCACCAACCAACCAAACAAACAAATAAATAAATAAATACAAACAAATACTAAAGCATGCATCAATAATACAAAAACAAAGCACCAAAAGTAAAAAAACGAAATGCATCTACAGCATGTACCATGGTACTGTTAGCAGTGAGGTTCTTTTAGCAGCGTGGTCTTGTTAGCAGCACAGTCCCGTTAGCAACATGATAATAAGAATGACCACTGCAACGGACGATGACCGCCCTCCAGAACTGGGTCTGGCAGTCACAGAACATCCAATGTTTTCCTTTCGAGCCGAATGGGTCCGTAGAGGGGTCCATGCAGGCAGATGGAGGATCATGGAGACAGAGGCCATGGCAGGCCAGAGCCTGAGCCCAAGCATGGAAGACTGCCGGGAACTAAACCACGATGGCAGGATGGCAAGGCAGAGACGCACAAAACTCCAAAAGTGCTTTGCAGTCATACTCGTAGCATGGGTGTACAGTGTAGACGCAAAAAATATAAAATAAAACAACATGAACAAAAAGAGTCAAAACAGAGCTCCCGTCAGTGGTACCATACTGTGGTGCACGTGATGTCACATGTGCGCCATATGTCCATCTTCCAGCAGGACGGCAACTCTTAATAGATTACTAAAGCAACACTTAGTGCTTTAGGGAGAACCATGCCCTGGAGTGGTCCAGTCAAAGGAGGGATTGATAGTTTTGCAAGGAACTGTTTGATATATGATAGATGAAGCCTTGGTTCTAAACGTATCGTTTTTAAAGGAACAGGGTCAGTGTGGGAGGCGGCAACAAGTGCATCATCATCCAGTATACTGAACTGGGTTTCTTGGTTTGAGTTACAGAACCACACACTTCAACAGTTGAATATTTATATTTGCCAACATTTATGCACTCATGCTTGATTATTTTAACATTAAGTGGTGAATATCTTTCTGCCCGTATGCTTGAAGCTATTTTCCAAAGGCGAATGTTGAGACAAACCCAAGAGGGCGAGAATTTAATTTATGTGGTGGTCAGATGAGGAATGTACTGCTGGAACAATAAGCAGACGTGTTCTTATCCAAAGCCTTGTGTTCATGCAATTACTCAATTAGTCTCAGATAAGGACAGCAGCTGAGATGAAAGGTACCTTTAGTGGTCAGCACTTGTGATAACAGTGAGCTCTAATCTTTCAAAGCTAAAAAAAGGTACAGTGCGGTAGTAAAACAAGGATAAAGGATATAAACAATTCAAAAGCTCGCTGGAATCGTAAAGCTCTCCTGCGTTATCAGATGAGCGTGCTAAGTGGTGAAAATTAAGTTTACAGGATTTATTTTCCCTCCGAGAAGCAGGAGATGAATGATGGTTAAACAGAATGCAGACGTGCACAGGAAGGAAACATCGACGGCGACTTCCTGTTTGCTTTCATCCTCATCAAGCATCTATTTTCCTCTAGAATCCCTTCAATCGAATCTTCTTTTCAATGTCATTATCATTATTCTCTTTTTTTATCTGTTTGGATCTGCAGTCTACACTCATAAACACAGCTAGACTAATCAGATCAGCCAAGGCTCCTCACACATGCCGTTTTTCTTATAGTGGTTTTGCTACAAGTTTAGGAGATAAAAACGTCTTGAATCATTTAGAATTGGAGTTTTTGATTAAATTTGGTTTTACACTTGGTTTTCACAACCTTAGCAGAAACAAATATGGCTAATTCAGTCAGTTTTCCCAGATATTGAGCTACAATTTGGTTTGGTTGTAGTTGAGTTATCCCTAAAACATACTGTATCTCAAAAGCTAATGGATTGCATCTGTTGCATGGTATGGCACATGACTTTCTTGGTAAGGTTTGGCCAAAATGGCTTTAAATTAATCATTTCTCGACATAAAATAATGTCAGTTTAAAACTGGGCGAAATGTATTCCTTCAAAAAAAAATGCTTATTTCTTGACCACATGGGGGTGCCAAAGCAAGTGGAACTAAAATCAGAAATTTGAGTTTATATTATATTGGTGTTAAATATTGCAACAATAATACTGGTCTGCAACTAAGTTTAATGCTTGAAGTTTTATATTTATTGTATAAAAAAATCACCATGTTAATATCCATAACTGACCCATTTGTGTGTTTGTTTTCAGGTGACGTCATCTTGTGTTCCAGCCACAAACTATGAGCTGGTAAGAAAAAAAACTAAGTTTTTTACGTTATTTTATGACAACCAATCATAATGAACATTGTGGTGAGTGATTATTAGATAGCACTAACGTTGGGCTGGTTTTAACCAAACACAAGTTAGGTCAAGTAATGACATAACTGTTGTTTTCCAGAAATGTTTCTGTTATTAAAATAAAAATAGAGCTAAGAGACCAAAAACAGTCATGCACTCTGAGAAAAGTGAGCCGTAGTCTTAAGTATGAAGAGATCGAAGTACCATAAAAAAGACGCTTGCTCTGTTGCCTTTTTTGGTATTGGCGTAAGGAGCTATGTTTGACTTGGATCTGATTTGCTCACTCACAACTTCACATGTTTGTGTGTTTAAATGGGTTTTGGGTACTCGACAAACCAAACCAAATATCCCCTGCACTTTACTGCCCTCACAGAGAAAATAGCTGTTTTTATTTCATAAAAGCTGCCATAATTAATTCTGAACATGTTATTATCCTTATAGATGCTAATGCACTGGATGCTTTAGACATGAAGACATCTGTTTGAGATGTGCAGGGGCATACGTATCTTCAAACACAAAATGCAGAGTTTATACCTTCATCCAGTTTGTTGAAGCTGTAGTTTTCTTTATTTCTGTTGTAGAATTTGAGTTACTGCTAAAGATCTTTTTTTGCCAAAAGGAGTCACTCCAGAGGTGTTTGTGTCTGGATTAGAGGTGCTAACCACCTTCATAAACACGTCTGACTGCATTTGTTGAGCTGTCTGCTCTTTGAGCTGCATGTAACAGTTGAGCTGGTTTTTAGAGGCCCTAAAACTCTGTCAGATTGACAACAAGAACACGGATGCATGAAGAAAGTTGGGACATAAACTGACCTGCTGAGATGTTTCTTTCTTTAATCTCATGATTTAGTTGTTGGTGCATCATTAAGTCAGAGATGCTATTTCTTGTTGTAAAAGCACAACATGCTATATTTGTTGCTGCAGCAGGTTTTAATTACCAGTTATTATTCCAAACTCTGATCAATTGTTCCAAATGAGAAAATGGTAGGCTGCATCTTTATAATGAATCTAGTATTTGAATAATGGCATTTAGTCTCAAGCCAACTGTTAAGTTATGGAGAAGAAAAGCATCATATTTCTTCTCGTTGTTGTAAGATGTGGGCCTCTTTGGCTTCATTTTCATTTAGTTTTTAAATGTTCCTAACGAAAAAATTTTGGGGGAATCTGTTCAAGTTTTGGAAACCTGAAAGTGGATGTGGGAGTGCATCAAGGATCTGCTCTGAGCCCCTTCTTGTTTGCTCTGCTGATGGACAAAATAACAGATGAGTTCAAGCAGAAATCCCCATGGACTATGATGTTTGCAGATGACAGTGATCTGTGGTGAGAACAGGGAAAAGGTGGAAGAGAACTTGGAGAGGTTGCAGTATGCACTTGAAGAGAATCCAGGCATGTTGGAGTGGATGGAGAAAACTTTCAGGACGCATTTGCGACTTAACAGTGGCAGCAAAGGTCAAAAAAGCTTTACAAGACGGTTGTGAGATGTTGTTTGGTCAGGAGACAGTGTGATTGACAAAAATACATGATAAAGAACTGGAAGTGGCAGAAATAAGATGTTGAGGTTCTCCTTATGAGTGACAAGGATGGGTAAGATTAGGAATGAGATCATCAGAGGTACAGCGCAGGTTGAACAACTGGGAGATAAAGTTAGAGAGTCCAGACTGAGATGGTTTGGACATGTCCAGAGGAGGGACAGTGGGTACATTGGTAGAAGAATGTTAGAAATGCAGCTGCCAGTAAAAAGACGGAGATGAGTTGTATGGATGCAGTTAGAGAGGACATGGGGGTAGTTGGAGTGAAGACAGAGGGCAGAGTGAGATGGATGAGGATGACTGGCTGTGGCGACCACTGAACAGGGAAAAGCTGAAAAAAGAATAAGGAAGCCCAAATGTCCAAATAAGACAAAATAGGACATTGTTGCAAGGTGATGCAGCAGAAAAACGTGGTGCGACTGGTTTTAAATAAGTGATTCATCATTGCTATATCTGGGCCTAATGTTAAAGAGTAAGAAGAGAAAGAAATGAGTGAATGAACAACTTTATGGCTGTTTCAACATTTTATATTGGTTTTAGCTCTGATTAGGGACACAAATGGGTGACTGCAAGATAAACCTGTTTAGAGTTCCAGGAAGATTTCTTGGTGTTTGTTCTGTAGACAGATGAGTAAGTCCCCGGCTGTTTCCCTTCTCAATGTATGACAGGAACCGGGCGATGTGGTTAGTGTGTGGACGTGGATTCATGCATGATTCCTACTAACATTCCCAGCAGCTGCTCTGCGAGGTGTGCTCGCCTTCAGCTCCTTGTTTGGAGAATTCCTCCTCTTCCTGCCAGAGACCAAACATGATTAACTGTCCCATTCAGGTGGAGGCTGATTACAACACTAGCCACACATAAACTTAGTCAGGGAAAAATGTTGGCGAGAAATGCGAAGCGTTTCTCGTCTGAATCTCAGAATGCAGTCAGATTGATGAGCTACAAACTGGGCAAGATACATCTTCAGTAGCTGAACATCTTAGCTCCATCTGATTGAAATGAAAGGCAACATTTTTTACATATTTTCATAAGCTTGCCCACAAAGATGTTCAAAAACCTTCATGATATAATAAAATGCAAAGTCTCTTGTCAATTGTTTTTCCCTGAAAACTTGGTATTTAGTGAAACGTCTTACAATCATCTTCAGCTGGTGGAGGAAGTATGCCAAACTGACACAAAACTGTAGAAGTTCAAACATTTCAAAACATAAAGAGCTCAACCTCAGTAATACATGCAGACGTTCGCTCACCCACAAATGATTTTAGGCATCCAGGTTAATATGAGTCTGTTTTGTTGAGGAAGCACAAGTTCCCATTGAATAGATTTTCATGAGATTTCCACTTGTCTCCATTACTGGTTTTGCATGTTGATCATATTGTTTTGCACGGACCAAGTTTTTTCTTGAAGCTGCATTAGAAGATATGAATGTCCACATTGACAATTAAAAATGCAGATAGCCAAAGAGTCTCCAAAAACATCACTGAATGTTTGGATCGAACAGCTGCTTGTCTTAATTCTGAAGCTTTTAGTGAGTTAACAGTCAAAATAAGCAGGTTTTGTTCTACTGAAGCAATATTTGACATATTAAAGCAACCAAGCATTGTTAATTAAATCCAGGTTGCACAGTTAGCTTAAAATGAATATTTTACTGACAAATTTATTCACTACTAAAGAGTGAGGTTAGTTGGTTGTCCTTTATCAGAACTAATGGACTCTGCTGTGAAGCATTCCTCGGATGTTCCCTCATGTCAAGCAGCCAGTTCAGCCAGGAATAAGTATTCTCAGGGTTTAGACGGAGGTAGAGAGATGTGAGGGGGGTCCCCCCCACCCCAATACACACACACACACACACACACACATAATGAATCAACTCTTTCTGTAACCCAAAAACCACCAACACGTACGTCATCTCCCCTCTGGTGTAGTGAGGTGGTACAGGGGGTCCAGGACATTGCTGAGTAATGAGTAACAGCAGGGCATAGATTGTGCAGATGGGGTCCAATCAGAGCTGAGTTCAGAACCACAGGTTGTTTTTTGGGTTTTTTTACTGATTGGGACCTGAATCTGCAGCACCATCAGACACTTGGTGGTGTTTGTCTGTATGATCTCACCTCTCCGAAAGTAGGAACTACATTAGAAACAAATATGTTCAATAAACATACACGAAATAAAAATAATGAAAATCAGAGTCAGCTGTGATTTGGAGACTGTTCCATGTTCTGCAACCATCCAGCAAAAAGTACAGATTATTTTTCTGAAGATGTTTATTCAGCTCTTATTTTCTAAAATAAATAAATAAAAAAGTAAGTTAAAAAAAATCCAAGACACAATGTTGTACAATACTTTTTTTTTTTTTTTTGTAGCTCTCGTTTATTTTTGTGTTTTTCCACGAGTCGGATCCCGACGCGACCTGTCAATCAATCCAGTAGGCGTGTCAGCAAATGACCAAGCTAAATGCATCGTAATATTATCCGAACTCTGACACGATAAAGCAGAGTTTATCGCATTTTAACTGTAGTAAAATAAAGAATGTTGAGCATCTTAAGTTATACTTTGGTATTTGTTTTACAAATAAGGAGACAGATAATCTGTTAGCACATCAGCATCAGATTATTATCAGTATCAGGACTTTGCACCTGCTTACAGTAAGGTGGTACGCTCTGATGGGCTGCAGCAGCTCTCTGCAGGTAACGAGCATTTAGCTTTGAATCGGTCATTTACTGACACGCTTAGAGGATTGATTGACAGGTCACGTGGTGGATCCGACTCGTGGAAAAAATAATAATAATAAACAAGAGATGCAAAAAAAAAAGTCTCGTACGACTTTATTCTCGTAATTTTATGGGTTTAAAAAAAAAAATCTTAGCATGACCCTAAAGCGCCATCGTCGTACATTAGTATATAGTTCTCACAGCGTTTTGGATTGTTGTGTGAAGGAAGATATTTCTTGAAACTGCGTTTGTTTTTGTGAAAACAAGTTAATCAAACTCATATTAGTTTATTTTTGACCCGCTCATAATATTCTGTAACATCAGTCAGCTGTTTGCGTCCGTAGCTCTTCTTCATCTGTAGCTTTTGCATATGGCATTTCAGAGGGAGTGGGGGTCACGCTAATCCAAGCTGTTTTGCTTTTTCTCCACCCCACCCCCAATGGATCGGGTGCTCTCAGCGTACCAAGAATCCCTCAGGACCGGCAGTATGAAGGAGTGCTCGTTCCTTTCTGTGGGAAAAACTTTCAAGCAGGCGGTGAACCTTAACCACTACTGACATATCAGAGTTTCTCACCCAGTCCGGTCCCACTGATACGGACCCGGCTGCTCGCTCCGTTACATAACTAACATGTGAGGGGACGCTGGACCCCTCCGTCTGTTCGACTTCAACATTTCTTATTTTTTTAATAAACAATCACTTTATCAAAGATT